GGCTAATTTCTCTATAACCCTAAAGTTTTATATATTCAAGTTGGACAAAATTCTTAATTTGAATCTTCTAATTAAGAAAATAGAAGCTTACTTTATTATATGTTTATATATATATTTACACAAATATAATTGTATATTTTTATATATACCATTTGAATATCTGCTGTGGTTGCTGCAGTGTTTAGCTTAGGCTATTATCTCTATTAAAATACAATGCTCACCTGTGACCCTCCCCGCCAATCTCAGAAAAGCTAAAGCCTCCCTCCGTTTTCATTACTTAAACATTAGTATGAATTGATTTCAGGTTATTTCTTGAGATTGCATTTTGATGGAAATAGAATGACAGCATATGAGGAATGGGATGTGGAAGAGGGTCCAAAAAATCATATACATATATGATGATTTTAAATAGTGAAAAAGTTGTAAGTATGGGTGTGTTCATCACAATAATTTTCATAGTAGGAAAAATGTAGAAGCTGCCTAAATGCTCAACCATGAAGAGAACTGATTGAGTAAACTATAATATACCTCTAGACACAGTACTAACGTAGCTTATTAAAAATATTGATTAGGAAAAATACCAATAACATGGAAAATTGATTATATAATGGATACAAATGTGTATAAGGTGTATGATTACATGTACGGAGTACGTGTAATATATGTGTATGTAATCTACATATACAGAGTACATGTAATATACGTATTATACATATATTACATGTATGTGTATGTAATCTACATATACAGAGTATATGTAATATACATATTATGCATATATTACATATACTCTGTGTATGTAATCATATACATACAGTATATAATGAATCCTAGGAGGGAAAGAGCTCATTGAATTTAGCTCCCAACCAATGTAGACAACCTTCCCAGTGTAGTCATTCACTGAACTCATCCACTGACAAGGATGCTTGTTTCACTGCTGAATGGCTATCAACTCTTATAAAGCTATTACTGCTATTGAAATGAAGTATCTTTCCAGACATCTTTTTTTCCTCCATTGGTCCTAATTCTGCTGCAGTGCCTTTCCCCATGGTCAGGCTAATGTTCTCTCTGGTTGTCTGCTCCAGCTGGACTTCTTCCTGGACAAAGGAAAAGAAGTGCCCACTGTGGGAGGCTCCAGACTCTCTGTGTATGATCCACACTGAACCTCCATACGAAGAGAGCACAAACCTCTGTCTTTCATTTTGGGCAGTGTTCCTCAGGCTTGGAAAGTTCTGCTGTGGTTGCTGCATTGTTTAGCTTATGGCTATTATGTCTAGGAAAACACAATGCTCACTTGCGACCCTCCATGCCAATCTCAGAAAAGCTAAAGCCTTCCTCTGTTTTCATTCCTCAGACATTAGTATGAAGTGATTTCAGGCCATTTCTTGAGATTGCAGTTTGATGGAAATAGAATGAAAACATATGAGGAATGGGATGTGGAGGAGGGTCCAAGAAAACGGCCTAGACAGATGAGGATGGGGAGCCACAGATGACCTACTTCACTGTTTACAATAGGAGGACAGCTGGCAGCTTCCTGAGCTATTGCCAAGACTCTGCATCATTCCAGCCACAGTGAAGCACTTCTGTGTGTGTGTGTGTGTGGATTCTGCAGTAGCACGCCTTGAATTCTCATATTTTCTTTCAGAGCTCTGAAGGAAATACACATCCTAATACTAACGTTGACATTTTCTGAGGAAGTCAGGTTAATATGAATTCACATTATAAATATTCTACATCCACATCATTATTTTTCTCCTTGCACTAACGTTTCTCTCCTTGCACTTCGTCCTCTTTCTTCCTATCTTTCTTAGCTTTACTCAGTAGGCAGTGCCATCAGGGACCACTTTCTTGGGGGAAAAATGTTTAAAAAGTCTGCACACTTAGGGGTGGCCAGGGTACCGTCTCGTACAAATAGTCGCAGCACAAGGACATTCTTGCAAGGACTGGCACAGACTAGTGATGATATCCTGATAAGCAGAATCCCCATTCATATTGTTCTACATGCAGAGAGGGGCCTATCCAGAGTATGACCATGATGTGGGAGTCAGAGTTGTGCAAGGACAGGGTATAGGAAGGCATTATGTCAAAGCTATGGGTAGTGCTGCAGATTTTCCCAGTGTACATGTAAATTTGTAATGCCAACTTTCCAATAATTCCCTTAACTCTGTCTTAGCCTTCTTATATCGTAGTAGTAATCTTTTAATTTCTAGCATAGTGAATTAAATCCCTGGGGATGCTCTGGAGGAAGTCTCCTAGTCTTTCTCTTTGAACAGTTGTTAAATGATTGATGGGATCATGTATGGGAATATCTAAGAAGCCGGTTCTCATGCCCTGCTCTGGTGGAGGCTTCCTGGGTAGTTGGTGGTTGTGACCCACATCTGTTGTAAATTGGCTCAAAGCCTGCATGTTTTGTTCTCTGAATTGGAAAGGAACTCAAATGTGGGGTGTTAAGGGCACAGGGGACCACAGGATGTGGACATTCTGGGTCTCTGGTGCCTCATAAGGAAGATACATCTGTTGGATCAAGCAGCTGGTGAGAAGACCAAGTCAGCAGTGGGTATGGGCAGCTTCCCAGCACTCAGGCTCCAAGTTGTATAGTTATATCTGACTACTGGTGTCAGGGTGATCGTGTAAATACTGCTGAACAAGGAGATCCTTCCTGCACATGTGATGGAGACCAAATGTCTTTGGGTGTGGAAGCCAAAGAGTCATGGCAGAAATATCCTAACACTTCCTGGCAAGCAATTTATCCAGAGAGTGTCATAGTAGGAAGAAAGCTTTTCCATTGGTTTTCTCATTAAAATAGAGGTTAGTAAATCTTGGTACAAAATTGTCTCCCCTCTACACAGTCAATTGGCATTGATATCTGAATTAATTACTATATCTAGGACAGAGTCTCAATTTTTATCACTGAATTCTGTGTATGCAGAAGCAATGCATAAGAACTGGGGAAATATATTCAAATGGAACTATGGAGTGATTTAGGACTTGCTTTATACATAGTCTTTGGCATCTTTATGTTGGAGAGGGGAAGGTTTTCGTCTGGAACCACATTCACTTATGTCACCTTGGGCCTCCACACTAACACAAGAGTGTGTTGGTTTGTTCTTGGTTATTTCTGAGTAGATGAGGCTTGCCATAAATGCATTGGAGAATGATGTATGGTATTAGGAAGACAAAAGTAGACCACAGAGATGGAGTCGTCTAAGGTGACAGTGCTTTTTTTTTCCATTGAAGGTGTATGATCTGGACATCTCTCATTTACAGTCCACAGAACTGCTGCCCAGGAGCCACAGAGGACCCATATATCCTGGAGAATCTAAGATTCAGTTCTGAGCCTTTACAAGAGCAATATGTTGATAGCTCAACCTTTCCAAAAACAAGTCACAGTGATGAAGTAGCTGGACCTGGATTTACGCAGGAACTCCTGAGTCTTTCGGAGCCAGGCACTTTAAAGGGTCGTAACATCAGTGAAGTTCAGGCTCAGTCTCAAAATGCTGCTCTGGGACAAGCCTCTGAGGAAAATGCTCACAAACGGCGCAAGGTGGTGCTAAATTTCAGACACACATGAGTTTGGGGTGGGACAGAGAAGCAATCAACAACAACCAAAAAACCCTCCAAAACAGAGTAAGGAGACCTGTTTTATATCACTTCCCTATTGAGATGTAAATGGTCTTAGAATGATCATTGTTGGAGGTATAATGCTCAGGGTGGGAGAAAGTGGGAGGAGAACTAAGAGGTGGGAAATTTGAAGAGAAGCAACACTCTGAGTAGATATTAAAGAGAGTATGATTTTAAAAAATAGAGGCTCAAGGATTAAGAACAGACTGAAATATTTATAAATAAATGATGCAGAAAACACCAAGTAAATGATTGGGTATGGAACAATAACATTTTTTTTTGACACTGGGCCTTACTTAGTTGTCCAGGCTGGTCTTGTACCCCTGGCTCAAGCAATCCTCCCACCTCAGCCTTCTGAGTAGATTGAGAATATCTTTTACTGATGTCCTGTTCCAAGGCAGTGCAGGCTTGAGCTCTTTGCTCCTGACAGCTGCCTGGGATAACAGAGAAATGAAGGAGGAAATCTCTTTATAAAGGTTTCTAAAGAAATTTAAAAAATTAACTTGTACATTGACTTTGTAATGGAAGTGAGAACATATAGGAAAGCCCTTTGGGGAGTTAGCTTTAGATGGGAAATACAAGTAAGACAAGGCACTTACAGAAAAAGTAGAAATTCCACGTTTAATAAAAGGTCAGATTTAACATAGCTTGGAATATATAATTTTCAATCAGAATATTGGTAACAACATTGTAGTAAACTTGGGTCTGGGTACCCTGCGCTGAGTAAAAATGGTAGATTCTATTTTGTGTGAGTTCAGTCAAAGAGATACAGGGGACAATTAGTCCGGTCTCTGCTTCTGTTGTTTAGCAGAGCCTCCAGCCCGGGAGCACACTGAGATGTCTTGTGTTTTTCAGGTCTTTAATTTTTGAATGCTGTACTGTACCCAAGGAACTTGTTTTTTTCCACTCTGCATATGCATGATGTGGGACTCCCATATTGGAGACACAGATGACTTATTGAAAGCCCTGCCTAAGACTTAATTAATATCAGTATTTCAAGTAGCTTGCAAGATTGGATTCTGTGGCTATATACTATACAAGTATAGACTTCCTGGTCTTTTTCTTACTGCCTCCAAATACAACCAGATAATCCTCTGTCTGGTTTCTTGGGAGCCACTTGTATCTTACTTTCTTGCAGGAACATTCTAAAAGGTTCCTTCAGAAAACTTGGAAAAGTATAAGACTAAAGACAAACCACAGCCTGAAGCCCAGGCCGCTGACTTGAGCACAGATGGCAGAATGTTAACAGCCAAGAAATATGAGGTCTTTGGCTCTTTTCCCAGAACTGCCAGGCTAAGACCTTGGCAGAGACTCAACAGGAAACTGAACTCTATTTGCATATCCTTTTATACATGGGAGATTAAAAGCTTCAACCTTGAGTGATCACAGTTTTTGGGAATCATGATGAGGCATTAAAGAGGAGGAGGAGTGTCTCAAGGGAGGTGAGCTGGAGGTGATGCAAGGTAGGTGTGAGGTTAGCCATGACTTTCAGTCCCCTTTGGTTAATCATGAGTGTATTTCATTTAGTTCCTTTTTTCGATTTTATCCTTACTGTGTCACATACAGGAATTAGCTAGGCAGGAATCTGTACTCCTATATCTCGGGAATCTTTCATATTTGATCTCCTATGTCCCATGGAGGCTTCCTTCTCTTTCTTGCCAGGCAGAGACCTATAGCTTGTTAATGCTAAAGGAAACTTAGAGATCATCTAACGTGAACTCTTTACTAAACAGATGAGAATCTGAGGTGCAAAGAGGTTAACTGACTTGTCTACAGTCACACACAAAGTGAAGAGTAAGAGTTCTGACACCCAAATGAATTTTTTTTCTTTCCAGTAGACTGCTAGCTCTTTTTAGCAGGTGGAAATTTCCTCAGATCTCAGACAGCTTCTTCCCAGTGAGTGATTTGGTGCAGATATCTTGAACTATCTTTCCCCATCAGAACATGCATTTCTGGCAAACAGTGGCTCTCATTCCCTGACTTTTCCTCCCAGTTTCCCTAGATCAGGTCCCTATAATTCTTTAGTGGAAGAAGCCAAAGAACTGGAATGAGACTATTTATCCCTGGAATTCATTTAGAAAAACTTGGTTTTTCTTGGCCAAGTACTACAGTGAAAACTAACTCCATGTAGACAGCATGGGCAGAATAAGGATGGACAGTTGACTCATCACAGGTCAGTAATTAATATTATAGGTTCCTTTGTAAGGATGGTATAAGATCTCTATTCCTAAACGGATGCATGAATGAAACGTGTCCTAAAGACTAGGGAGGCCCTGTGGGAGAGCATCCATAAAGCTTGGTAAGGCTGCACTTTCTGAAGATTGAGACTCCTTTGTGCAGCTCTTGTCTCAGACATCTGGACTAAGTGTGTTGGAGAAGGTTTGATGTAAAAAATTCATTCATGCAGGGCGTGAAGGCTCACGCCTATAATCCTAGCACTTCAGGAGGCTGAGGCAGGAGGATCTCTTGAGCTCAAGAATTTAAGACCAGCCTGAGTAATATAGGAAGATCTCGTCTCTACAAAAAATTAAAAAATGAGCCAGGAACGGTGCTGCACGCCTGTAGTCCCAGCTACTCAGGAGGCTGAGGGGAGAGGATCAGTTTAGCCCGGGAGGTTGAGGCTGCAATGAGCCATGGTCATGCCTCTGCACTCCGACCTGGGCAACAGAGTGAGACCCTGTCTCAAAAAAAAAAAAAAAAAGAGACTCTCCCTGTTACTATTAGTGAAGCTGACACTGACATGCATCACCTTCATCTCTGCAAATGAAGGGCAATGAGGACACCGTCTCTTGTTCGGGAGCTAGACCGTCCCAGTGATGGTCTTGCCATTGGGACCTTCACTATCATTAGTGTAGGGAAAGGATTTAGAGAGGTTGTATGGGAAGAACATTCCTGATGAGGTATTTTTATGAAAAATGTGCTGATAGGCACTTTAGATTTCTTGGTTTGGAAAAACACTAGTGGTCATTGGCCATGCTCTCTCCCATTCTGGCTTTTCTGTCTCCTTCTGTCTGGAGTAGAGGGTGAAACCACTCTACTACAGACCGTCGGGTGCTGAAAGGAATGGAGTTAGCATTATTGAGCACCTCCACTTTGTAGTCACTCAGATACTTACTAGCAATTATTTAATTTGATCCTTATAATAACTCTATGAAATTATTATCCTTATTTTATGGATAAGGGAATAGAGGTTTAGAAAAGTTAAAGCAACATTTTTCAAGGTCACAGAACTAGTAAGTGAGGGGTTGTGATTCTAATTTTTTTCTGATTCCAGAGCCTATGCTTTTTTCACTACTAAAAGAACTTACTTATAAAAACTCACATGTGGCCGGGCACAGTGGCTCACATCTGTAATTGTAGCACTTTGGAAAGCCAAGGTGGGTGGATCACCTGAAGTCAGGAGTTTGAGATGAGCCTGGCCAACACAGTGAAACCTCATCTCTACTAAAAATGCAAAAAAAATAGCTGGGCGTGGTGGTGCACACCTGTAATCCCAGCTACTCAGGAGGCTGAGGCAGGAAAATCACTTGAACCCGGGAGGCGGAGGTTGCAGTGAGCTGAGATTGTGCCATTGCACTCCAGCCTGGGCAACAAGAGTGATACTCTGTCTCAAGGAGAAAAAAAACAACAAAAACTTAATAGCTCAAATTTGTAAACTTGTTCATTTTAAGATAGGTGAAAGGACCTTGCCAAAGTTAGGGGCAATTTGCAGTTTATTGTTTTAAAATTTGACACACATTAATATTTTTATGAATGATTAAGGCTATTTATTTTTGTATATCACTTTGCCTACCTGGACTGCATTGCCACCTATTTAAGAGAGGAAAAACGCCTGTTTAAATTGTGCCATGAGACCTTTTGTTAAAACAATGAGAAAATTTTCACGGATCGCAATGACAGGGGAAGATGACAGGAGGTAGTTGTCTGGAAAGTGGAGAACACGCCACTGCCATTTTTCTTTCACTTTGGCATGATCACGTGGTTTACCCTTTCTGTCTTTTCTTAGCGCTTGACTTCTAGGACATTGGAGGAAAGGGATAGAAATATAGTATATCACTTTACCTGTCTGCATTATATTGTGTGATGTGGAAAAGTCACTTAATTTCTTCATTCATCGGTTTCTATGTCTTCAGCCGAAGAGGTGGAGCCTGATGATAATTGGTTTCTCATTGCTCGGACACTCTGAGTGTGCATATGTGGGGGTGGATATCCTCCATACAGAAAGCATGATGATGGTTTTGATGCTGAGAAATGGACTAGCTATGAACTCAAAGATTTACATTGATTCTTACTACAGAGATGGGTTATTGTTCTTGTACCAGTTCTCTAATTTCAACGTACAGAGGCAGCTACACAGGCCTTTGTGTTTTTTTGTGTGCTTATTTATGAACTCAGTGCATAAAACGCTTCTTCATTTCTTTAGAAGACTGAGGCAGTTACTCCTTTATTGATCACTCACGATTATAACACAGGTGTTATGCAAACACAGGGAGGTCTTTATGCCCGAGGAGGCCTTGGCTGTGTCAGAGCTTATGACAACAGCCACTCAGGTGGTGTCTTCTTGGTACTGTCCCTGGGGCTGCTGACTTTCCTTTTCACTGCCTCTAAGTAAAAATTCTCACTCCTGTCAGGTGGCAGGTAAAGATGGAAACTGACTCTCGGGCCTACCTTAGGCCATGTGATCCCAGCACACCCAGAGGCCCTGGAGGGTGAATCCCTAAAGCTCAGCTAGGGACGGTAAAGGCACTCCAGCCTTCTCCATAGTGGCTCCACAGTCCTCAGGTTTCTCTATGATTAGCTTTTTGGAGAAGCCAGAAGAGAAAAACCATAACCCCACTGAGGTGAACACAGGATTGATTTCAGCTTCACAATTGAGTGAGACAGTTTTTGGGAGGCACATCAACCTGCAGGTATAGATGAAGCTGCAGATTCTTTTCTGGGGCTGCTGGAGTGGAGTCATTTGGGGACCAGTGAGAGAAATGCATCACCTACTTTGTATTCTTACCTCTGTGGTTGGGGAAGAAACACTTTTCAGTCCACAGAATGTGGTCACATGACTAGGGAGAGACTCAAGGCAAAGGGCTCAAAATGCCATGCCCCATTTTCCGTTTGTCATAATCGGTGCTGTCATCTTCCTGTTCATATTGCAAGTTTTGATCTTTTCAGGACTGTTTCTTTGCCAAACCCTCATGTCCACTCCCCAACACACTTTGTGCTAATTAATGGCATTTCATCGCTTGGTTTTGAAAAATGAAAGTGTGAACTGCTTGTGAAAGAGCTCTTAGCAAGATAAGAAAGAAAAAATGATTCCTTATCTCCCCAACCTACAGAAAAGCTGGTACGATTATGTGTCTTAAGAATGTGCATGAAAATGTTATTTCTAACAGAGGGAGTCCAGCAAACATCCACACGCCAAATATTGGGCTCCCTGCCTGCACGCAGGCCTTTGCTGAAATGTCACCTTCTCATTGTATCCCTTCTTGACAACCTGATTTAAAATTGTAATTTCTCCAAGCCTGCTGACAACCCTTTCTCTCCCCGCCTGTTTTACTCCTCTCCAAGGCAATTATCTCCATCTGACATATATTTTACTTATTTTATTTTGTGTTTATTTCCACTGAAATATAAGCTCCTGAGATTCTGAGAGCTGTGCTTCCATTGTGTCTAGAAAAGCGTCTGGCATATACGAGGTACTTAATGAATTGTTACTGAGTGAATGCTGCTATATTCTATGAAAGCAACTTTAATTTCCAAAAGTTTGTACTTTGGGGTTTTTTTTTCCTTAATAATTTGTTGCCCTAGTAATATATTTAGACTGACATTTCTCTTTCTGAAAGTTATAAATACTCACGCAATTTTGTCCTTAAGCCAGAAGGATAATTTAAACTTTCCCTATTCTATCATATGCATGCAGGTAAAAAGAAAACTTATGACTGTTAGACTTCTTATTTAAACATGGAGTTTGAGAACCTGGCTTTATTTAAATTAATACAAGCAATTGCATGTTGGCTTGACTTCCTGTGCCCTGTCACTGGGTCTTTTTTCTATCAAGTTGAGCATGCTGGGTGGCACGCTGTTCAACTGGCTGACTGCTGCCTCGGAGCCTTGGGGCATCCAGGGCACGCCTTCAGAGAGTCCCTGCAGTGTTTCACGTACTCGAACGTACGCTGTTACCACTCATAAACATATGCGTTTGTGCATGTGTAAATTGCTAAAAAGCCCAAAAAGACCCAGTGGATTCTGTATTCTTGAAGAATACCGAAATCATTTGGTAGTGGTGGTGATAAAGCGAGAGGGAGTTAGGAATCACTCTTTTGTTTAGGAAACTGTGTTATTGTGGCTTTTCATTGTGAAATAGCATGCCCCAGCAAGTCTGTTTGGAGAGAAGGTTCGCAAAATTCCTTTGTGAAATAAAACAGAAGTGTTTGGCTTTTTCTTTGACAGCCGCAGACTCAGGGCCGGG